GAAGTATTGTTTTCAGGCCACTGCCACAGGCACTAGAGAGAGAAATGAACACAAGTGAACGCACGGAGCGATGCAAGAACCATGGGGTATCCCATCCCAGATCCCCACCACCACGAGGGCTAGTGCCCGTGTGGAGGCCGCACGGCGGGTAAAGCCGAGGCAGGGCCCGGGTCTCGCGGCAGGGCCTGGGTCTCGTGGCAAGGGGCAGCCCCGCCGGAGAGGCTGAATTCCAGAGCAGCTCTGCTGTGAAAATATTTCCTGTGAGAATGCACAAGCCTGAGAAACAAGGAGTAACTGCAGCTTTCTAGCAGGGATGGATTTCATTTGTCTAACACATCCATTTCAAGAGTGAGCCTTTAAATGGACATCTTCTTGTTGAAGATTGGTGATGAGACAGTGCACCTCAGCTGCAGCAAATGGGCAAAGAATATTCTTCTAGCCCAAGCTTTTCCCCTGGCTGTCAGTTCATATACCCACCTGGAATTCTCCTGCATTTTCTTATTTTCTTTTTGGGCTCCCATAAATATTAATCTATATATAAAGAAAAACTGATAGAAAAATTTAATTGCAAAGGTTTTAGAATTTATTTGCTGCATGCCGTCAAAATCTCCTATCGTCTCATCATTGAAAGTTCAGATTCAAATTCAGCTCCTTGTCCCTTACTATTTTTAACATAGAGACCATAACTCATTGTTTCCAGAGCAGGGCTTTGGAAAATATTCTGAGAAAGGAAAATCCCCAGTGATTTTGTTTGCTAATGAAGCTTAAAACTAATATCTGGACAAACAGCTTGCACAAAAAAAGGCCTCCAAGCCAAAAAGGACTTAAAGCCAGGCAGGGGAAGAGAATAGTTCAAGATTAACTTAGTGTCTTCTCTGATCTCCAGTATTTAGGTTTTATAAAAAGAAAAATGGAGGGGATGGATTCTGGACCTAAAGCCAGTTACGAGCCTGCACATATGTACTTTGTGCCTGATGAGTCAGCAGGCCTGGCTGATGCTTGTGTAAGAGGTGGGGAAGAACTTGTCTGTGGGTCTCTGTGCTCTCACCACTTGCTTTGCCCATTGCTGTGCTGCATTTTCCATCCTTGAGAGTCAAGGATTTCACTGTGCTTAAAGAGTGTTTGAGTACAAGAGGGAAGACTGCTCAATGGCTGGTAGGGCCATGTCTAATGGCAGACACTGCTCCTAACAGCCCATGCATAAAATACTTCATCCTCATCGAAGTCAGTTCTGAGGGTTGTGAAGAATTTTTTATATTTAATTTTTTTGTCTGTATAATGGGGCAGGTTGCACCAAAGACCAGGTGGTTATAAGCAAGAGCATTTCTTGGACCTATTTGCAATGCTGAAGCCAGTGCCTAACCCATGAGGCCACAGCACCTGCCCCTCTGCCAAGAGACTGGACCTCTCTCTGTCCCTCTTACCACATCTAAAACCTGTGGCTAACAGGAGTGGTCTGTGGTCTCCTAGTGCTTTTTCACCTGTAGACTTGAAAGTGTTTCTTAAATTGGATATACATTGCTTACCCAGTTCCACTGTTGACCTAAGTATAGAAATTTGAAGCAATGATTACACCAGGAGTACTGTGGCCAGATTTCACAAGATGGGGTTTATGTTCCCAGCTTGTTGCGGCACATCACTGCAACTATGACCTCACAGTGTCTGCTGTGGGGAAAAAAAGGGGTAAAACTTTTGCTCGCTTCCTCATGGTCATGGTGCACAGTTGCTGAAGTGCTTGAGATCTGCAGGCACCAACAACTTGCTGCGATGAGAGAGGAATAGTAAGGGCCAGTTCTGTACCCAGCAGCGGTAAGTTCCCTCCCTGTGGCAGAAAGATGTTTCAGAGCCTGAGTTTGCCCTGTTTCTTTCCGGAATCCCTTCAACCCCACTTGGCCTCCACAGGAGGGGAGGGACTGGCCATTACATTGCAGGGATCAGGCAAGTGCAATGGATCTGAACCAGAAAGGGAGGCGGCTGAGAGGTAATGAGAATAAGATCTTCAGCTGGAGCTTGGAGATACCTTATTTCAAACATACTATCTCTAGTATGTTTTCTAGACACAAATCTTTTTCCTTCCACCATTTTCTCCCAGGTTGAATGACAAAGCCCTGTGCTGTGCTTTCAAACAATGCCAATTTCTGGAGCGCTCGGCTGTCCCTGCTTTGCTTCTTGCCTGAGACAGAATAAGGGTTTACCTAGCATTCAGAGCAAGCGCAATGAGAGACAGTTTTACTACACACATACAGGGCTCAGAGAAATGCCAGGCACAATATGATACACTCAAAAAAGGATCCCTCTAACAGCTTTTAAGAGAAAAAATGTCTGTCTTCATTTAAAATGTCAGTTCTGACTTTTCAATGAGACTTTTGCTTTACGCGTTTCCAAGAACGGGAGCTTATTTTGCTTTGCTTCACACCTTGAGTTATAACATGGCATGAAATCAACCTTTAAATGGAGCTTGACTTACATATTTTAACTTATTCCTTGCTCCGTAATACTAACACTATGATCCTCCATTTGGAACTACACGCTTTCTTTTTTGCCTTGTTATTTGTATAAGATGTATCTGGGATGCATGAGAAGAGGCAGAAGTTGTGAAAATGGCTAGGAGTACATTTTATTTTACACTTAATACTTCTGGAGTTAAAAGGGAGATGGAAATTGGCCATGTAATGGATCTTAGCTATAGAGAATTATCCTCCTTAGGTAATAAAGTATTGCCTGTCTCAAGGGCTCACACACACAGCTTGACCTCAGAGCAGTTGCACATAATGCTTTCTCTGTCAAGAGAATCTATTCATAATGACGTGTCACAGGTGCTCACACACAATATGTTTCCCGTCAAAAGTGATCATCCATATTTTATATAGCAGCTTTGATGACAAATATTTTGTACTTCAGCTGCTTTTTCTTCCTTCTGTCAGACTTAATGAAAGAAAGTCACAGACAGTTTTTATATAATGTCAGCTTCTTAGATCACATTACTTTGTCTGCCTTTGAAAGCAGTTTCATACAAGAGCCACAAGACCGGGGAGAGAGAGACAAGGACATTTGCATTTACCTAACTTTAAAAAGAAAGCATATTTTTCAGGCTCTCAATTTCAAAATCAATATACTCTGTATCTTTGGAATCTTCTCAGAAAAAAATATGCTATACTTATTGAGCACTCAATATTTTGACAGTCTAGTGAAAGCAAGTCTGATAACTGAATTGGGGTTGCAGCTTCTCACTACGCAGAATGCCATTTATTCTTGTAGTAGTAGTATGTCCTGGAGGTAAAAAACACTTTTCTCCAGGTTGTTCTACAAAGGGAGTGCCTCAGGGGGCACAGAGAATTGGGTTCTTATACTCTCATTGAAATTGTTTGTCCGCAGCAAGGCCAAAGTTTGCTCTTCTATGTGTTCAGCCCTACTGAAAGAAATAACCCTCATTCCTCTTTCTGTTAATGAAAGAGCAAAAGTGAACTTGAACTCCCTCTGAGGTTTCTCAGATTGCGGGACTGGTCATCGAAACCTCAGAGCATAGAGGAGTGCTTTTCCCATTCACGAGCCACGTCTTTTCTGCCAAAACTGTAAGTGAACAAAGTACAGAGGTATTCCTGAACTTGCCTGCCACCAGGCAAACTCACCTGAGCTAGCAGAGAGTGGTGGCTTTCAACCTGTAAGCCATGGATGCATATGGGCTTCTGCTCTGCCTCCGAGGGATCCACAGAAGGGAGCTGACAAAAGCACGTTCATTGTGTATGCAAGCCCTTTAGCAATGCCTGCATATAAAAATAAAATCAAAACACTAGAGTAGGCGATCAAAGTATGGCACGTGCATATTTATAAAATTATCACCGGCCTGAGGATAAGGCAGAATGGGAAGCCAAGAGTATTTACAAATAGGATTTACAAATGTAAATGAGTCTGGATTTCTCTTACCTGTGAAATATAACCAGATGTCTCAGGTTGAGAGATGAAAGCTTACACTTAGAAAAATGCCTGGGTTTTTAATATAAGATGAGGCCAAAAAAGAGGGGACACAGGGTCTGGAGCTATTTGATGCTTAATTACTTTTAAGATCCAACTCCTAGTTAAGAATGCAACCAAGAAGGAATTAAAAGTAGGTAACAAACTTCTAAAGTACAGGAAGATGCAAAACATTATTCTCTACCATTGAGAAGTAATGAACTGATTCATGTCTGCTACTTAAAAGATAGTCTGCAAAACCGTCCTCTTTTCTGTTACCCCCAAGCACCTAAAGAAGAACTGAATAGTCTTAAGCAGTGAGTGTAATAAGTTTTCCTTTCCTTGTCTGAAGAATTAGAACAATTCAATTGAAAGGCAAATATAATCCTACCTATGCTCCATGCTGGGACTGGAGCAGGGTAAATGCCACAGTTAAGTCTGAACATCAGGTTGTAATTGTTAGAGATTAAAAACATGCCAGAGAGAACATTCCAGGGAAAGAAGGAGGGTGAGAATGATGGCTCTCCTGTGTCTTTTTATTGAGGCAAATTACCATCAGATCTTACAAGGGCATATTCCTGCACAGCAGAACTCAATCAAATGGCATTTAATCAATAAAGGAAATTATACACTAGGTTGATTTTTAATCATCCAGCTAGGAAAGCAAAAATAAGTGAATGTCTTTATCTGCTGAGCCAAGTGCATGCAAGGCAGAAAAGCCACTGAAAGTAACTAAAAGAAAAACAACTGTTCTCTAGGATGCTGCTGTTCCATAAAATCGATTTAAAATATAATCTTCTGTTATCTGTTTCTGCAAGATGCGAGCCCACCAGCTGAGCTTCTCATTTTTATGCAGATGAAATAATCGCTGAAATGAAATGTCAGGTCCTAAGAGATACAAGGAAAAAAATGAAACAATCTTTAAGAGCTGTCAGAGAGGTGGATGGTCCACCCTTCTAAGTACAGAGGAACCATTATTCCATGGTCTTGTCTAATATCTTGTTCTCTCACCTTTTTTTTTTTTTTTTTTTTAATGCTTGTCTTCTCAGTGCATCCTAACGTGAGCCAGGGTTGCCAAGGAGGGTGTGCTACATGTTCTGACTACAACGGATGCCTGTCATGTAAGCCCAGGCTCTTTTTTGTTCTGGAGAGGATTGGCATGAAACAGATCGGAGTATGTCTTTCCTCGTGTCCAAGCGGATACTATGGGACACGGTATCCCGACATTAATAAGTGTGCAAGTAAGTGCTGGGGAAAGGGGAAGCACATGGATTTTTGTTCTCTCTTGAATGCTGTGTCAAGTCAACTTGGGAGTCAAGTCAACTTAGGAGTCAAGTCAACAGGGAAGCAGACGGACAGGCCGTGTCTTTATTTGTTCCATTCTTTTATAGTAGTGCAGTAAATATTAACCCAAGCAAGAAGTTAAGGTGAAAGATCACAAAACGGCCTAAAGCTCAGGGGTCCTGGCTCTGCATGAGGGACCTGCCTAGGACCCAGGTGATGGTCTCCCCCTCTACACCCCCATGTGAAAGGGAAGCGCCGGTGGGTGCCGGGCATTGCCCTCCAGCAGCGAGAGGGAGCAGCGGCAGCTCTGAAGAGCAGGGGCCGAGGGACGCTGCATCTTGGTGGCTGGAGCCCTTTAGCCCACTGCCCTTACCCGCCCGGCCCCTGCGACAAGGGGAGAAGATGACAGGTGGCATTCTTTGGAGATGTGCTTTGCCCTGGTCTCTTCAGAGCTCCTCTCACACTAGCGTAGTCCTCTCAACGCCTGTAGCAGCTGGCCAGGTTTCAGCCGGCCAGATTTCAGCCTGATTTGGGGAAGTTACCAATTCATGTTGCCTCTGGGCTGGCAGAGAACCCAACTCTATTTACCACTCAGGCAACATTTTGACCCCACTATGTATTTTGAGCCACAATGACCTGGAAAAGATCGCAATGTCCTCCCCACTCCTCCTTTTGTTGTTGAATTCACTGTTTTTAATCCCACAGGTGGTATAAAAACGTAAGAGCGACGGCCAAGCAACTCTCCCAGTTTTTACCTGGTAATAAAAGTTATTTAATGAACAGACCCCAGAGTAAAGTCTTACAAAGTAACTTGATACTGCAAAGTATTTTCTCACTTTTTAGCAGTGTGTGGCCTTGCATATCAGACATGAGCTGTGCCATACACAAGTTTTTATGTATTTCTTTTAAAAATGTCTGAGAACTGGGAAATATACCACTAATGCCAATTTGGGCAGTCATACAGAGAATACATGAAATAGTACAGGACATCTGATTGAACATCAGGGAGTCATTTAAAATAAGAAAAGATGTTGATGCAAAACAGTCCAAGCAGATTCTAAATTCTGGCATGTTTTTATTGCTCCTGGATGAATGGAGATAGATAGTGTAGGACTGGCCCAATACCTGCGCCCTGTGGGGTTAATTAGTACCTATGCTGTGTCAGTGTAGGGCAGCAGCAGTATATTGTTATTTTAATGTGCCGTGCTCTGTCTTCCATTTGCATAGTTCTCCAAGAAGACAAGCAGTGTGAGGCTGTTCAGCATCAGGCCATCCTTATTAAATCCTCACTCATGCCAAGGTCACTTGTGGCTGTCCTCACTCTGTGTACAGGCCACGAAGAAGATCTAAACATAATTTGCTTCCTTTGAAGATTGTTTAACATTGCTAGAATTGTGTGATTCTGGTATATGTGAGCGAGCGCATGGTGTTTCGTGGCAGAGAGTAACAACATTGTTTTTTACTGTTTGCATTTCAGAATGTAAAGCTGACTGTGATACCTGCTTCACCAGAAACTTCTGCACAAAGTGTAAAAGTGGGTTTTACTTATACAGTGGAAAGTGCCTTGAAAAGTGCCCCGATGGGCTGGAAGCCAACAATCACACGATGGAGTGCACTAGCATCGGTAAGTCTGGTCTCTCCACGTCCTGCTTGGTTTTCTCACAGGGGACGGGGGATCTAAGGAGGGCAAGAGCTGCAAGATCAGTTACACCACCAGGGAAGTGCAACTTAAAATGTAAATGCTCTGCATCACAGCATGTGTGCCCCAGCACGATAAACTCAAGGTATTTCCCAAGTCTGCCATTTCACGAGAGGCACAAGCTCAGTTGTGCCCTACAAACACAGCCTTGACGCTGGTGGCAATTCTGCCTCAGAAATACGGCCTGTTTGGTCTGCCCTGAGGTAGAATGACGTCCATCTCTTACTTGCTCTGCTATGGTGTTGTGCAGCACCGCCAACATCAAAGGTTCAAAAATCCTGAGCCAGACCGCACATGTAATGGAAAGATCAAAATACTAACTGCTTTGCTTTAGCCCCCTTGCACTACCTGAGCCTTCAAAGCATGCATGTGTCAACATTTTGAAGCTTACCTTCACAAAGGTGAAGGCTAGAAACTAAAACATTACGAAAAAAAACCAAACCAAAAAACAACCAAAGCCAAAATGGCATATGTGCATGATCACCTGACTCCAGAAACTGAGGATTAAAATAAAACACCAAATAGTGTGGCACTGTCACTGAAGGAATGAGATTGGCGACATTGGTCCTGTGACTCAGTGGCTGCAGAGAAGAGACCTCCTTTTGTATTTCTCCAGCCCCTGACTCATAAGCTCCAATTATTCACACTGGGGCGATTTTGGAGGTCACCACACCTAACTGTCTGCTCCATCCCTCTGCCACCCCTCCAGCTGAAAGCAGAACGAGTGATACATTTGCCTCTGGGCTGCTGCAGTTGACATCCCCTGCCATGAGCATGCTGAAGCTGTGGCAAGGTTCAGCTTATTTTAGTAAGCTGGCTGCGAATTGTGGTGGCTGAGGGCTGCAAACTGCGGTGGAAGCGGTAACCTCTTCAGCCACCAGCAACCAGGGAGCACTTAGGCACAGTCTGGCCATGATGGGAATCTCCTCCCCCACAGTATCATGCACATAGCTCTCCCTGGCATCACATGTTTTGGAGGGGAAGTAATGCAGGAATAAAAATAATGTAGAGTAGTTTGGCATTTTCCTTCTCAAATATATGTTAGTTCAGGTGGTAGTGATGGTTTTTACAGTTTTATTTTCGAGCAAAGACTTTCATCTTTGAAAGAAATTCAAGAGATCATTTTTGTTTCTTGATGGCTGTTTCCAAGTGCTGTGGACTTAACTGCTTTAACAATGAATCAGTCTCGACTAGGAAAAGCCATTTAAAGCTACAGAGGAAAAACAGAACCTTTTTGTGCACGTGAAGGCCAATTATTTTAACAGGAGAGCTCCAGTGTAATATGAAAAACAAAATGACCCACATGGCAGTTCACTGGAGGAAGGCTCAGAGATTGCCTGAGGTCAGTTATATTTTTAGGTTTTGAAAAATTTTGAAGTAAATTCTGGAGCTTAAAAAATGTTGACTTTACAAATTCCTCTTTATAGAGGGGCTGGAAGTCACTCCTTCTTCAGCAGTGGTTTATAGTCTTAGACACACATGTGAACATAAAGTAAATATAAGTGTTTACTATCATGTATCAAGAGAAGGATGCTGAGGAGATGGCACAAAAGAAGGATAGTATTAAGAGCACGTTGTTAAGCTTCCAAGGCGACTCCCACTTTTGTCTATGCTGTTTGGACAAGTTGTCCAGCTGCACATCTTTTAAGTTCCCAGTAGTGTGCAATGCGCATTCAGATCACTCTGGTTCAGAAACTGTAACCCGCACTTCTCTGAAAAGCTTGCACCCCCCTGACTCAAATTCTCCTCTGCTTTGCCTTCTTACAGCTTGTATATGCTACAGATGATGGCTCTTTCACTATTTAAGCTGAATACTAAGCAGCAGATCACCAAAGAGACTTGATTCTTAATGTAATGCCTTTTGATATCACTTGGTCCTTTATAACTATTGATTTCCAAATTCAATACCTTTGAGACCAGCTGCAGCAGCTTGACTCAGTGATTTCACTCTCCTTTCACATAGGCATGACCAAAGTTTAATTACACTGAAGCTACAAGGATTTATACCTCCACAAAACCAAAGCAACCTCAGAACAAGCCCCAGTAACTGATTTCATTGAGACCAATTGTGCTGTTGTTGCCCCGTTTCAGGAATGGAATTACGAAATGATGAGTACAAAATAGTAACTGACATAATTATTTGTCATTATTTTGTGCAGTATATCCCCACCAGTCCAATTTCTGTCAATTCACTGCTGCAAATCCTTATTAATTCCAATAATTTCACCACCTTTTGGCTGATGCAGAATAAAATTAATGTACCATATGCATTGTGTATACAAAAAGGAGTTGGCCAAGCTCAGCTTGTCCTATGTTTATTGCAGTGCACTGTGAAGCTAGTGAGTGGAGTCCATGGAGCCCTTGCACAAAGAAAGGAAAAACATGTGGTTTCAAAAGAGGAAATGAAGTAAGGGTCAGAGAGATCGTACAGCATCCGTCAGCAAAGGGCAATCCTTGCCCAGCTACAAGCGAGAGCAGAAAATGTATTGTACAAAGAAAGAGATGTCAGAAGGAAGGAAAAGGTACCACGTTATCATCATCATAATATGAGATTGGTATTGTGCTTGTTTAATAACTCACATCTGAATTCCCAGGCCTTGACTGCAGGCTTCACCAAAGCACCTATTGATGTGGTGTTCCTTGGGCTGGAAAGAACTGTGCCCTTGCCTGGAGTAAATAAAGTCCTAACGCTGCTCAAAAAATGCGCTTTGTGTGATCTAGAGAGGACAGGGTGGGCTGGATGGGAAGGCACAATCTCTCTTGGTTCTGCTGAAACAGCTTCCAAGATGAGGGGTTGCATGTGGAGATCAGAACAAAAAAATCCATTGTAAAACATGTCATGGTGGGAGTTGTTTGTTGGATATCAGGCAGCCAAGTGTCACGCTTCAACCATGGGATTCCTCCAAACTGATTCCTATTTCACACTTCCCTACAGGTAAGACCATAACTCTTGCAATTGCAGTGCTGTGGCCTCTCTCCCACCCTGAACTCTTTCTACTAGCTCTGGCTGAACAACGTGGCCTGATCCTGCCATCTGCATCCGGCTCATGGAGTCCTGGCATGGGAGAAAGACCCCATGGCGTGGCAGCCAAGGGAAACTCCACTTGGTTTCACCCAATAAGCCACGGTGCCAGCAGAACCACCCCTCCATGCAAGCCAGCTTGTTGGACTTATTCCCCATCAGGGCACCTAGTGAATGGCATCCCACATGTAAAGAATGGGAGATGCTTAAGAAGTCTATGAAATAATAATTCCAAATACAAATTCTGCCCAGTAGAGATTGTTGTTCCATTGTTCCCCTTTCTCCCCTTCTTGCAGCAGGGAAGTTACTTGCTCTGCCCCCCGTGCAGTTACTCTGGTTGGCACAGGCGTGTCGAGGAAGTATTTCCTTTTCCCCATCCCTACCATATCCCCATCCCTTCTATTTCCCCCTTTCCTCCCAACAAAAACCAAGGTTTCACCCCTTTTGAGGATGAGTGGAACAGGTGGAGCAGCTACCCCATGTGAACATCTGTGAGCCAGCATGAGCTGCTGGTACCAAGTCATAACTTACTGTTTCATTGCTAAATGATCATTAGGGTTGCTGCAGATTACTTACAGAAACGCTGAAGGGGTTTGGAGCTTGCGATCCTTTTGAAGGTTGGCTTGTTCCCTAGGGATATACCTCATGAGAAGGGAAATAATGTTAGAAGGAGGATCTTATGAACCAGATAGATAGCTACAGGTGCCTCCCCCTCACCCAAGAACTGGCTAGATCTACTGATTTATGGTAGATGTCACCTCCTCCTCCTTGTGTCAGGCAGTGCCTTGAAGAGGTAGAGGCGCGTTTGCCTCAGGGGAGCAGCCAAGGCAAGCTATTTACGGATTCCCTTTTGCTTAGAATCTGTGTCCAAGATGTCCATGCTTGCTTCTGCTTCTGCACAGTGGCACAACTTGAAACACAGCCTCTCCGTTAGCCCACTGTAACTGGGGGAAGAGTCCTTTTTTTTTTTTTTTTCTACCAAAGCTAATCTTGCCAGAGCTGAAAACATAGGACTGAACTGTAATTTTGGAACTGCCAAACTGTTTTTTTGAGGTGATAATGATTTTGTGTATTTGCTTATGGCAATTTGGCAATCTTAAGATTGGACATTTCTCTCCGATAAATGCCTGCTGTTCCTGTGTAGTAAGTACTTTAGAAGAACTTACTCACATATTTTACTGTCAATTCTTATTTTATGGGATCTGAGCCAAACCATACTAGAAAAATACTGCACACCACAAGAATTCATGCACAATCATGAATCTTTTTCTTTTTTTTTTCTGCAATGTGCATAAAGGTGGTGGGTTTTCTTCCTTTTGAGTAAGTCATAGGCTATATTCTAGCCTGTTTTACACTCAGTAGACAATTCCTTTGAAACCAATGCAGGCAGATGGAACATATGTTCCAACTCTACCTGTGCCCTTGGGAATTGTATGTGTATGTGTGAGTGCCATTTTTTTTTAATGTTCTGAAATCCACTACCTCAATATCCACAAAAATCTGTCCCATTCACTTTCATACAACTACACAGAGAGATGAATTTAAAACTTTAAAAAAAAGATAATTCTTAATAAATCTGAGGAAATTCACACATAAAACATTAGGTTAACATAGATTTAAGGGATGGATTACGGTGACAGGCCAGGAAACTGAGAATTAAGCTAAAAGTTTTCCTTCTGTTCCTGCTGGAATGGGGAAATGAAACTGTCCAACTTAATCTCCAGGCAACTTATCTTCTCTACTGCCACTGTCCGTTATTACAGAGAGAGAAACTTCTGTTCCCCTTTGAACAACAGAATAATTGCATGAGAAACCAAGCCAGGCTCTGTTCTTATGGCTAGCTGTGTCCAGTCACTGAGTGCAGGAGGAGGTAACACCACAAACACTTTGGGAAAGGGAAGGGAAGGGAAAGTAAATATGTTTGTATTTACTGTTAGGAAATGTTGAAAACGCTCTTTTGTATTGTAGCACTCCCCGTTGCCACTCAGGCATTGCTTTGGAGTTTAACTTTCATGGCATCGGCTCTTGAAATCTAGCAGCGGACCCAGCAGTTACCAACAGTGCTGCTAATCTTTTCTCCGCATCCATGAAGAGTTAGTTCGGTCAGTCTCTGCCGTTTCCATGTTGAATAGATGTCTGTGGCCGAGGGAGTTAGGGCAAAGACCACATGATGACGGGGTATGCTCGTCACAGATGCCTCAATGACTTTGCTCAAGGAGTTGAGGTCAGAGACAGGATGTTAGTCAGTTAGGTCGCTGCTATCGCACAGAAGCAAGGACATGTTTCTGGAACAGCTACACAAAACAAGATAAAACAGATGAAGGGGTTTTTTTTGTTTGTTTCCATCTGTTGGTGTGTTGTTAAAGCTGGTGAAATCTATTACAACTCTTTTTTTCCCTCACTGGCTATAAAATGAGATTTTGCTGGGAGAAGGTGCTCGTATTTTCAGAATTAATACAAACAAATGGGAATAATGAGGATACAAATAGCCCGACTAGTCTAAGAGGTTCTTTTTGCCCATTTTAGCTCTAAATTACTTGATCCCAGTGTGTTCTGACGCGGTAATTTCCATGTGTTTCACATACAGGTTCCTTTTATAGTTCAATCCCATCCAAACCTCACTGTAATTTATTTCATAATTGTCCTCTTTTAATCCTATGTTGGTGAGTTCTTTTTAGTCTGCATGACTATATGATTTTAAGTTCCAGTTTCTTCTTCTTCCTTTCTTTCCCTCACACTTTTTGTTTTGTTCCCCTAGTGCAGTGCCCTGGTACTTTTACCTTCCCACACTTAGTATCTTGTCTCCTACCTTTCACTGATGGACATAGGTTGAGAGTCACATTGTTTCCTGTAGCCATGTCCATTAATGGAAAATGGATATACTGGAAAAGCATAACTCACAGAGCTCTTCAAACACTACAAATTATCCATCAATATTATTTCTTTGCCTTAATAAATGTGCTCTGGCCAAACACAAGTCCCTTTGGGCTGTTGTCTGCACATGTGTGAGATGATTGACTTTTACTGGCCAAAAGACAAATATCAGAATTGTCTACAAAAGTATTTGTGGGGAAGGAATTGCATGTTTTCATGCATGAGTAATTCTGCCAAGAAGAGAACATTCACCATATGACTTTCTGTTGAGTCCCAACTAACTCCCCCAGAGAGCAGACAGTTTTAAGCGCTTTCAGAGAACATGTCCTTATCAGTTAAAGGGACTAAAAACTCTCACCAAAAGACTAAGTGCGTAGCTATGAACAAGGAAGACATCTTAGAAAGCTGGGTATTCTGCAAGCCCATAGATAGGCTACACAGTTGTATTGTTGTAAACAAATAATACATTTCAGTTGTTGCTTGTTCATATATTGTTTCATTTACATGCTGGTGGCATTTAGATGTTCAAAGGAGAGAAGGAATGTTAACTGCATCCAGTTCTGTGCAAACACAGACCAAAGAAAGTTCCTGTTCCTGACAGGCAAAAATTCAAGCATTAGGCATGAAGACATGGTGGGATGAACATAGAATAGCATATTTCTTTTTCACGGTGGAGTGTAGGAATTGTCACCCTGTAGAGTCTAAAAGCAGGATACTGTTATGAAAGGAAGAGGGGCAATTTTAGTCAAAATTCACAAGACTGCAACCCCTTGGAGGCAAGGTACCTTGTCAGGTAATGGTTTGTGCTGTAAGGAGAATACAGATATTATGTTGTGATTTTTTTTTTCGTATACAGCAAGAATAAGAGAGAAAGCAGTGTCTTTGAGATGAGGAGCTGAATTCTAGACACAGACTGGAGAACAGAAGGGAACCAAGGGAACAGGATTTGTTGTTAAGCAGGTTTAATGAGGAAGTGTATATATTTTTGAGAAATTAAGTAAAATAAATGCTTCTATCCTGCACTGCTTACATGAATACAAAAATCCAGGTTTGATTTTAATAGCTTAGAGAACTGAGACTCAGGCCATCTCTGTTGTTTCTTTGAACTAGTTCCTCCACCCCGATTTCTATATGTCCGCGTAATGCTTCAAACGTATTAATCAGATCATGTCTGAAAATGTCTTCAGTTGGCTGTGGTGTGAGGAAGGTGTATCAGGCATCCATCCGATTTCCAAAACCACCACTCAGCTAAAAATCTCAAGCCGTTCATCAAGAATTTACTTCAGCTGAAAACAACGTAACTCAACACTAGCAAACTTAAAATATTAGGCAATAAACTAATTTCACTCACTTAACTTAAACTCATTGACCCTAACGTACATGATCTGATGCCATATGGATCCATGTAACAATGGAGCACAGAGGGCTCTGGAGTCTAAACTACATTGCTCCTTTAGCATTTCTCACAAAAAAGGGGTTCTGCAGTTGATCTCTGGTTGAGGTGCACTAATTTCATCAACAGTCAGTTAAGTTGTACCAGGCAAAATAGAGAAAGAAAAAGACAGCCCCTACGAAAAGATGTGTGAGTTGCATTACATTTTAAAATGTATGTGGAAGTAGTGAAG